TCCTCCGTGATCCTCTATCAACCTTGGTCTGGACTGTCTCCCAAAACCCCTCCACATTCTTTTCCTCCTTCAAGCCATTCTTAAAACTCATCTCTTCGATCAACATTTTGCTCAAATATCTCCTACTATCTCCTTTTTCTTATTATCAATTCTTATCCAATTATATATCTGTGAAATGTTTTATTGAAAGGAAGAAGTATTCAGTTGAATTGAGATAAGGAGTGATATTTGGATGTAAGTGTCTCTCACACCTCCCTTGATCTGCTTCACCAGAACCTGAGACTGGGGATCATTCTTCAAGTACAGGAGATAGATAGACAATCTGGGTAGCTGATGGGTTTTTTTGAGGGAACCTTACAGTAAGATCCTTTTCAATAAATCATTGATGCAGGCTAAGATTACATTGGTTCAGGGGTGTGAAGTGACTTTTTTAATCTAGGCAACTTTTATGCAGAGGGTGATTACTAGCCATATTGATATGAAGAATGGTTAAGGCCTGATGGTGTAATAGGAAGATGGCAGAGCACTGGAATTTGAGAGTGACTAAAGTTCCTTCATCTTGGGCTATTTTGCCACCGTGTCATAATATTGAAGAAAGTAATTAGGAATGGCTGTAGCCAGGGGCAGGGAAGCTTTAGCTATTGGTTCTTTGCAGCACAAAATCATACATAAAAGAAATTCAAAAACCAGGATAAATTTCATTAGGATCGTGTATTAAAACTGAAACCAATTTAAAAGAATAGTGCCAAATGATAATTAACATGCTCCTCCATAGTAATCTTGATCTCTTTTAGTGGTGACTGCAAAGGTGTATCGGAATGCAGCTTCCTTGTCTTAATACTTATTAACTTACTACACAAAGACAAGTATCACTAACATAAGGCAGGCAATTCATTCCAAAGATAGACAGTGAGAATCAATGTATGTAGAAAGTGAAGCTAATTACTAATTACAGCTCTGAGATTGATGAGTATTATTTGTGTCTGCATGTGCTTGTGGTTAATGAACTGATCTGCCCAATTTATACAGTGTGCAATATGGTACTTGTCTCGTGTCTCATTGAGGTGCTCAACAACATTGCATGGTTGCATTTCAATAAAAGCTGGGTCACAAACTACAAAACGCATTACTTCCAAGTCAATTGAGATACCAAATCCAGATTCCAGCTAAATAATAACATGATGACATTTAGTCACTGAGCTTTGATGTGTGATGTGTTACACAGATAATAAATAAAGAATAAGATGCTTAGGTAATATTACAGTGTTAGAATGCAAAACAAAACCATTGTAACTTTCAAACTACAAATCACAGCTATGATTAACATTATCAATTCAATCATTAACAGATGTATGTCATTGCAACCCTTAAATTGCAAACAGTGCAGTCATTAGGAAAAAATAAGTTGGAAATGATTTTCTTACAACAATATCTATGACCAATTCTATCACTCAGAAACTGGGGATTTCATTATTTCCTGAGCCTGTGGGTAACAGATCAGCAATTATCACCAAGCAAAGTTTTCCTGATAATGCATCACTCAAATCATTTGAACAGTTATGAAAAAAAAATAACTGTTAATTAATTGGATCAAGTTACTCACTATAATTATTAAAAAATCTTAACCGCCATTGTTTATTCTGTAAAAGTTTGAACCATAAAAATGTTACCCAAGTATCTTCTCTTTGAAATAAATGCTGGGGTATTCATGTTGGAGGGGCAAAGTGGGAGCACAGTTTTTCATCTTAGTTTAAATACAATAAAGATACTAGCAAAGTAAAGGGTTAAGTCTCATGGCACCTTGTATTGCGATAAATTCAGATGTTTTATAATGTGCCTAAGTGAAAACTGCCACATTAATGGTAATTATTGATCAACGTCTGGTACAAAGTACCTTGTCAAGGGTAATTAGTGATGGGCAATACATACACCCAAATCTGATGAATGAACAAAAAAATGACACTGAAGCAAGATCAGTCAGAACTTCACACCAATGTCGCGTATGTTACTGCTTAAAAATGCAGATCATTAAAACTAAACTATAGTCTCAAATAATGCTGATCTTGCTAACGCTGATCTTGCCTAGCGCACGCCCTGTGTATTGTAACCTGTATGCCTCTGTCTAAGTCTTTTTACAACCTCTGATCTCTACATCCTTGCTTACTATGATCTGCCTGTGTTGCACGCAAACAAAGCTTTTCACTGTACTCCGGTTCACGTGACAATAAATAAATCAATCAATTAATAAAAGGAAAGCCCTTAGAAAGAAGCAAGATTTAGTTAATTGAATCCAATGTGTTATGTGTCTGGATATTGAAGACAAAGTGATTTAACATAATGTTAAATATATGCAAAAAGTTGGTCAGTAGTTGATGGCAAGGCTGGGATTTAGGTTTGATTCCCTCATGACAAATAGTTTATTGGCATTGGTACCTACGTTCACATGTGAAGAATTGTTCCATGGTTTAGGTGCTGTAAGATGAATGCTGTGAGTAGTTTTATATCTATAAATGAGGCAGTGCCTTCAGGAGGGGCAAGGATAAAGTGGGAAGGGACTAACAGAAGGAAAACAAGAAGTGAGAGATATTGCGATGACTATGAGTTTCTGATTTGAAAGAGAAATAGTGCCATCTTGTGGGCACTGTTGATAAAATGTGGAACTGGAGGAGAACAGCAGGTCAGACAATGTCTGAGGAGCAGGACAATCGATGTTTCGGGCCTGGACCCGATGCTGTCTGACCTGCTGTGGTCCTCCAGCTCCACATTTTATCGACTCTGACTTCCAGCATTGCAGTCTTTTCCATCTCCTCATTTTGTGGGCGTTACCTTGTACATTAATTTGACCCTGCCATCTTCTGGAGTATTGCTGACATAAGCTGCGCTAGTGCAGTGGTAGTGTCCCTACTCCTGGTCTGGGTGACCCCTCGGTTCAAGTCCCACTTGTTCCGGGGGGGTGTGTAATGACATCTCTGTGCAAGTTAATTGGAAAACTAAAAAAAACCTGCACTTTTAATAGTAACAAAACCAGAAATTGCTGGGGAAAAAAAGAACAAAAACAAAGCTCAGCAGGTCTGGCAGCATTTGTAAAAGAAATCAGAGTTAACCTTTTGGGTCTGGTAATCCTTCCTCAGAACTGAATGGACCTAAAAGGTTAAATCTGATTTCTCCCCACAGATGCTGCCAGACCTGCTGAGCTTTTCTGGCAATTTCAGTTTTTGTTTCTGATTTCCAGTATCCGCAGTCCTTTCGGTTATTATTTTGCACTCTTAATAGCATGCATTAAAAAGTCCTTAATCTGAAATTTTGGTACATTTATCGTATTATATTTTAAATGTAAGGCAGTTATTTCATGACTGAAAGTGTCCCAAAACTGCAACAAAGACATTGTACAGTTTGTCTGCCCTGACCATTGTATAAGAGTGTAAGAATCTAAAAGGATTAATGCTGGTCCGATGGTATTAAGGATATTAACTGGCCTTAACCACTATCTAGTTGGATGATATCATTTGGATTGGTTGATGATCAGATCTCAAATGGTATTCCTCTACCACAGCTCGACCATGAGAAAAAGTGGGCAAGATCTCCAAAAGAGAACTCACGCAATATGATGATCAGTGCTGAGTGCATTCTTATAGATGACTGGCACTAAAGTGGGAAATGTGTTGGTAGTAATTGTTCAAGGACCAAAAAGAAAGTGAATTACTGATCATAGGATAAAGACTAATAATGTCGGAACAGGAACTTGATTGATTTGAACCCTAATAGAGACGGATGTAATAAAGAATTTTTTCTAATTCATCGGATGAGGGTGTTGCTGGCTAGGCCAGCATTTATTGCCCATCTCTAATTGCCCAGAGGGCAGTTAAGAGTCAAACACATTGCTGTGGGTCTGGAGTCACATGGAAGCCAGACCAGGTTAAGGCGGCTGTTTCCTTCCCTGAAGGGCATTGGTGAGCCAGATGGGTTTTCCCAACAATCAACAATGGATTCATGGTCATCATTAGACTCTTACTTACAGATATTTATTGAATTCAAATTCCACCATCTGCCACGGTGGGATTCACACCCGAGTCCCCAGAACATTACCTGGCTCTCTAGATTAACAGTCCAGCAATAATACCACTAGGCCATTACCTCCCATCTTGTATTTGCATTGTACCTAATTACATGATTAGATTGCCTTAAAGTCCTCTATACAATGAATAACTGTTTAATTGCAATGACTGTTATCTAGACAAACTGTGCATTCTTTTAAAAAGATTGCATTAATCGGTTACTTTAATAAAACATTCTTGATAAAGGAATGTGTAAGTTGTGTCTTAATAAAAGAGAAATAGCAGTTTCTAAAATTAAATGTTTTGGATACGATACTCTATTTTAACTTATAATAAGCCATCTCATATGAATAATTCTGACTTTGTAGGTTCTGTGATAAAAAATGATATGTGAGCATCTAGATGAGCTGATGCCAAGCCAGTTCATTTCGTTGTGAGGTTGATCTGATGTCTTATGCTGACCACTCTCTTTCCTTTTCAATATAATGTTTAAAATTCATTACTTTTTGAGTGTTCTGCTAGGGTTTTGCTTGTAATTTGTCACAATTTTAATTTTCTTAAATATGAAATTAAATGATTAGGCAATGTAATATTTTGTACCAGATCATTTGACAATACAGTGGGATTACTGTTCAAAGGTTACACATTCTACCGCAATCTTTTCTGTATGGAGTTATATGATCAAATGAAAGTTATTATACATAATGCTGTGAATTTGCAATAATATCAAGAAAATAACTAACCCTAGCCCAAGTAGAAATGTTTGCATTTAATCAGTCAAGTGAACTTTGACCTCTATTGCTAATGAATTTGTGTACATTTTGATGGATACTGTCATGATGACATTATTAAAATATAAATGAAAAATATAATGGTCTAAGTTAGCAGCGATGGTAATGGTCTTACCGGACACCATTGTTCATGCTGTATTTTGTCATGCCACAGAATGCAACTGTAATCGCAGGGCTTATCGTTGTGAGTGGGATCCTATACTATACCAACAAACTGGAAGTGGTACACGCTGCTTGAACTGTGTCGGCAATACGGAGGGAGTACACTGTGAGAAATGTAAGGAAAATCACTACCCTCTGAGAACAGGAGGACAGTGTCAGCCTTGCAGATGCAACCCTCTAGGTAAGTTCATGAAAATAGAATGCATGCCCCGTAATAATGTTAGACTTGTTTGAGCTGTCTGTCAAAGCGTTTGACTTAAAAGGATTAAGGCTAAGATAATGTAGTTGAAGAATTGCATCTTTAGACATTTATATTTAACCTTAAAAGATTTAGATTGAGCTCTTGACCCTTTTCCTTACCTTTCATATTTGTTATCAATCTCCATAGATAATTTGGTGACATCAGTCTGTTTGAGAATATAAACAATTAAGAATTCCCTGCACTCATTTTGCTGCAATGTGAAACCTGAATATGATGTCAAATATTCAGATGCACTTTGTCATGGATCTGTTTTCATTTTCTGTAGCTACAACTATTTATGTTTCAAAGTCTAGCTTATGGAAGAATAACCTTGCAATCATAGTTAGTTACACCAATAAAAATGATATTTTTCACCAGAAGAGAAATGGCACGCATAATTTGGGATAAAATAATTTGTTTACATAGCACAACTCCAAAGCAGTGCAGTGCAGACTGTACAGATTCTCTGGGGCCAAACAGTGCTCGTGGCTGCTGCCTGCAAAGTTCACATGGTTTCCTCAACAATATCGATGGAGGGACACATGTTGATAACATAGGTAGCATCCCACAGCACTATCTGACATAGAACATGACTGGTAGAAACATTACAGAACACAAGGAGGCCTTTCAGCCCATCAAATCCTACAGGCTCTCTGTCTCGAAAACTTGTCAATCGCATCCCCTTGCTCTTCCCTATTCCACCACCATAGTCCTGTAAGTTTGTTTCCCTGAGCTGCCCCCACCATCTCCTTTTGAAATCATTAATTGTCTTCACCTCTACCATCCTTGCAGGCAGTTAGTTTCAGGTTATTATCATTCACTGCATAAAAAGCTCTTCCTCACATCGCCCTATAGCTCTTGCTCTCGTAGTACTTATCCCATCAGTTTGCACAAACAACTTTGTCTACCTTATTTAAATTATCATAATCTCTTACATATCAATCAGATCTCCTCTCAACCTCCTTTACTTCTTTCCTCACTTTCTTCAAAATCCTTGTATGCACCTCATCCAATTCTGGTGCCTTGTCAACTTTAAGTACCAACAATCTATCTCAGGCTTCTTCTTTAATTAATTTTGAACCCTTTTCATGACAGAGTTTCCTTCTCTGTCACCATGGCCTGGACAGCAACCTCTTCTTTTGTAAAGAGGGGAATGCTCCTCTACACAGGAGAAGGATGCTACACCCACAGTGGTGCTGACCCTCTTATTCCGCGATCCCTCAATATTGCTAGTTAGCCTTTTATGTGGAATTTTGCCACTCACTTCCTTAAAATTCTATTTAAAAAACATCAATTGCATTCCTTTCATTGACCTTCTCTGTTACTTCTTCAAAAATTCAAGTAAATTAGTCATATGCAAGCCGCCTTTTTAGAGATTCTTGCTGGAAATCAATAGCTCAAATTTCTCCAAGTGCTTTCCCCAATGATTGTGTCTAAAACTTTAACTGGCATTGCTGTTAAACCTGTTAATTCCTGTTTCCAGAAAAGATCTTACAGCTTTGTTGAACAAAAGTATCATATTCATCACTCTCCAAATCTCTGGTACCTCCCCTCCATCTAGAGAAGATTGCAAGATTATGACAAGCACATCAATTATCTTCATCCCACTTCCTCTAACAACCTGGAATGTAAACCATCCACACTGGGTGACTTATCCACTCTGAGCATAACCAAACTTTCCAGTACATTCTGTCTATTAATTTTCACCCCACTTATTGCAACTACCATCTCTGCTTTTACCAATATTTTGTCAGATTCCTCTTCCTTAGTAACAACAATACAAGTTACTCATTAAGTATTCTAGCCTTGCCCTGCAAGGTTTTGCATCTAACAGCGCCCACCCTGCATTTTACTCCCCTATTTGCTGATTACAGGATTTTTTGAGTGCTCTCAGAGAATTGGTGCAGCTGGTGAAATGTGATTTTAAAATGGCACTGCACGAACAAGTATTTGTGTAAATTGTATAAATGTGTTTTACTTGTTGCAGAAACTGGATATTTTCATGTGAGCACGAGCAAGGCAACGGTTAGAGGCATTGGCTTTTAATTCCCCATTCCACTTTTAGGTTGACAATAGACAGCATCATTGAAAAACAGGAATGATGTTTGTCTTACTGTAACCCCATACAAGGGCTCTATTTGGGAGTTTGCATTTAACTAGATAACCATAACATACAGTACCAAGTTAATCTATGTCATATCTGTACATGTAAGATCATGTAAAAGCATGTTTTCAATAGTCATTAGACAGTACAGAATTTGAGTGTAGCTGAAGAAAGGTACGTTCTGTCAAAGCATTTCATCTTGCATTCATCAAAACAATTTGGAAGAAATACTAAAGTAAATGGGAAAACATTTGTACTGTAAGGGAGGAGAGTGCCCTGAAGATCAAAATGGATTGTGATCCTAAAATCCTTTAACTCACAAAAGTAAAAAAGGTAAAAGTGTGGCTAATTGTTTTAACTGAATATAAACTGCATTTTGTGCCCTCAGTAAAATGCTGTTGCTTTAATATTTTCTCTGCCTTTTAGGTTCAACTGGTAGTAGTTGTGATGAGTATGGTCGATGTAGGTGTAAACCTGAAGGTGTAATTGGAGACAAATGTGATAAATGCCAGCCTGGCTTTTATTCATTATCCAGCACTGGTTGCAAGTAAGTTCTTCTGACTGGCATTTTCTTTTCTCCCCCCGCTAATATTGATGACATATTACATAAACTGTATTAGTAAAAACAGAACATTTTGGGAGATCAGTATTGTAAAGAGCAAAGGCAGGCTAGTGCTTTGGATGTTGATTACCAGTCAATTCCACACTTTCATGCAGGCACTTTCCCTGTAGAGATGCTGATGGATCTGCTAATAAAGGCAAAATATTGTGGATGCTGCAAATCTGAAATACAAACAGAAAGTGCTGGAGAAACTTAGCAGGCCTGGCAGCATCTGTGGAGAGAAAAACAGAGTTACAGTTTGAGACTGCGATGGCTGTTCTTAAGAACTAGAGAACTGTTCTGAATTAGAGCCATATTAAATTCAAAACATTGACTCTTGTTTATCTCTCCACAGATGCCACCAAACCTGTTGAGTTTTCCCAACACTTTCTGATGGATATCCTGTTTGATTGAAATGTTGTCTGTTTTGTTTGCATGTTTTAACATTTTGAAGCTATCTTATAATTTCACTTCTGCATTTCAACAAAATGTTATGTTGCAGAAACAAGCCATTCAATAAGTCAATGAGTCAATGAGGGGAGACAATGAGCTAGTGGTACTATTGCTGGACTGTTAATCCAGAGACCAAGATAATGTTCTGGCGACCTGGATTTGAATCCCACCATAGCAGGTGGTGGAATTTGAATTCAATAAATATCTGGAATTAAGAGTCTAATATAATGACTACGAATCCATTGTTGATGGTTAGAAAAGCCCATCTGGCTCATTAATGTCCTTCAGGGAAGGAAACTGCCATCCTAACCTGGTCTGGTCTCCATGTAACTCCAGACCCACAGCAATGTTGTTTATTCTTAGCTGACCTCTGGGCAATAAATGCTGGCCTAGCCAGTTATGCCCTCATTCCATGAATGAATTAAAAAAAAGGCAGTGTCATTGTTTTTGATATACATTAGCCGGCCAGTAAAATCCCAAATATGGCTATGAGCCCATATCCTTTCACAATGTATGGTATGTCACAAAGTAGATCTTTTGGGGGAATGGTAGCACAATGTTAGAACAAAGCTAGTAATCAGAGGCCCAGGCTGATGTTCTGGAGATTTGAGTTTAGATCTGCCTATGGCAGCTCGTGTAATTTAGATGAAATTGTTTAATAGATCTGAAATGAAATGTTACACTCATTAACAACTATTAGAAATCACTAGATTGCTGAAAAACGGATTTATTTCAATAATGTACTTTAGGGGCAGAAATATGTTCTGACTTTAATGTGACTTCAGATCCATAGCATTGCAGTTGAATCTTAACTGCCCTCTGAATGGGCAAGGGGTCACTGAGCTGTCAAGAGGCAGCTCACCATGCTGTCTTAAGTGTGCTCAAAGCCTGGACAAGGACAAATAAAAAGACACACAGACATAAGCTGAATGTTTTCATTATAATGGATTATCTGTGATCTAGCAGAAAGAACAAGAATGGAATTATATCCAAGAGTATTAGTGCCTTCTAGACAGGATTGGAAGAAATTACAGGGAAAATATTTGTCACCTGCTCTGCTTCAATGTCCCTCTGAAGTGAATCACTGCTTGGTATACAGTTTACCATTAATTATGAAATTCTATTTGGTATTCGCAGACGATGTACATGTAATATGGCTGGTGTTACTGAGATCTGTGATGTTGAAACAGGAAGATGCACTTGTAAATATAATGTGGAAGGGACAAATTGTAACCGGTAAGTTTTTTGTAACAATTATATTGAAATCAATATGTCTGGTTCAGGTTTATAGCTTTTATACACTGTGATTGAAGTTATAATAATAAATGTATCAAAGGTACTTAGATATTAGTAGAACTTGAAGTACTTTAAACTAATTAGTGTTACTGATGATCTTTCTTCAATAGCATGTCTTATTCTATGTAATTTCAGTCCTTCTTTCTGTGAGCTTGCACCTATAGGGGCACTTACTAAACTATAGCACCTTTTATTACCTTTATAGTTAATTGTTATTGCCAGTTTAAGCAAACCTTGTCTTTGGGTGTTTATTCAGGTTTAATTTTTAATAGAGGACATTGAAAGAAAACATTTGTATACTAATTGCCCAGAACATATCTGTAAGATATAAATTATGCCCTCCACTCTGGCTGATACTTGGCAGCTGGAGTTATTTGTATTTTATAGGCAGACTATCTGGGTTTGTAGATAAAGCTGCCTGGAGCGGGAAGAACAAAGAGAAGTGTCGGGAATAACAGGATTGCTGCAGTATCTTTCTCAGCTGTCCTTCAGTTCAAGGCTAATACCGACTCAGGATCACAAGCTTTTTCTATGGGTCTTCGCTTGCTTTAAGGCTGATTCCCAACACATGGGTCTCTGGGAACAGGGGCCAGGATATCTACAAGATAGTGAGATCTAGGGTGCAGAATTTGTTTTCTTTTCCTTCCTGCATCAATAAAACATTGTGAATCAAAACATGGTGCTTGATGGACATGATTTCATTCTCCTGCTCACTTGGTAGCAGGCTCCACACAATTGTTAATATCTGTGCACAAAGCAAAGTTTATGAGTTCCTTTGAAGTATTTTCCTTCCCTCCCCTGGAATGTTGGCCATTTGAAAATGGAGAAGACATGACCTGTGCTGAAAATGCTGTTATTGGTCTAAAAAAGGTTTGACTGTGACACACTGCAAATTGTTTAGATTGTCAACAATCACTCTCTAAGGTCATGTTTGTAGGATGATCATCAGAATAGCTGTTTCAAAGCCCTCCCCAAATGATTTAAAGGATTTGTATCTGAGTATTGTATCAGTACCCTCTGGGCATAAACAGGGGACAACCATCATAACTCCTCAATTGATTCTCTCCTACAGGTGCAAGTCAGGTTATTACAACCTCCATCCAGATAACCCCATGGGGTGCTCAGCATGTTTCTGCTTTGGGCATTCGTCAGTCTGCAAGGTGGAAGATGGTTACAGGAAGGCTTGCATCACCTCTACCTTTGATACAGGTACAGCAGCAACTTGCTATAATGAACTGAGGTGTCATTCGTAAGTGAGGGGCCATCAAACAAAAATTTAATTCAAATGTCATTCAGACTGACAGTGAGAGATCATAGACCAAATCTCATGATGGTGTCAGTCCATATGATTAAACCTGAGGATGGAAAGAATTGCTTAGTAATCTGATTAGAAAAGCCATTGGAAAGATTTGTTTGTAAAGATCATGGAATACCATGTTATTGCCAGATGAATTTGAAAGATATTAATTATGTTGTTAGATTCTATGATTGGAGTCTGCACCCTTATTAGAAGAAGAAAAACCAACAGTGTCCCTTTTGTTTGTTACTCATTCCAGCTCTGATATTCCCATGACTCGATGGTAATAGCCTTTAAGAGCTAAAAGTGCGTTTTTGGACATTTTAATCTCTTCCTGAGGTTACTTCACAGGGGTTATCGAATTATAAGTCAATGTTGCAGTGTTATCTTCATAAGATCATTAGAAATAGGAGTAGGCCACTCAGCCCAATGCATTTGCCTTGTCAGTCAATAAGATCATGGCAGATCCGACAGTAGCCTTAGCTTTCCTTTCCTGCCTGGTCTTGGATTCCGTTGTACAACAAAAATCAGTTTAACTCAGCTTTAAATATATTCCCAGCCTCCACTGGGTCCATGGAAAAGATTTCAAAGATTAATGGCTCTCTGCAAGAAGGAATTCCTCATCATCTCTGTCTTAAATGGGACACTCGTTACAATTAATCTGCAGGCTTTCAGCATCTATCCCATCAAATCCTATGTTTCAATAATCTCTCTTTCTTCTAAATTTTAAGGAGTATCAGTCTAAACTGCTCAACCTTACCTTGTAAGATAACCCTTTCATCTCAGGCATCTGACTAATGAACCTTTTCTGATCTGCTTCCAAAGCAAATATATTAGCTTCTTGAGCATGGGTGTCAAAACTGCACTCTGAGTGTGGTCTCACCAATGAGCTGTTCAGCTGTTGCAAGACTGCCATATGTTTGTTTTGCATTCCTCCTTGCAATAAAGGCCAACATTCCATATGTCTTCGTAGTTATTTCCTGTACTTTCATGTTTATATTATGCAATTTATGGACGAGGGATCTCAGTCCATCTGCACACAGTATTCTGCAATCCCTCTGTATTTACATAATATTCTTCTTTTGTATTCCTCCTCCCAAAGTGGACATACTCACACATTCCCTCATTATACTCCAGGTGCCAATGTTGTGATCCAATCACCAACTAACTGCATACTTTTGCAGACTTTGTATCCTCCTCACAACCTACCTTTGTATTGTCAGTAAATTTCATTGCAATGTTGCTGGTCCCCTCATCCAACTCATTAATATGGCATGTAAGTAGTTGAGAGCCAGCATTAATCCATGTGACACTCCACTTTATCCTGACTCTCACTTTCCTATTAGTGAGCCAACCCTCTATCCATGCTAATATATCACCCCAGCACCATGAACTCTTATTTTTTATGTGGCGCCTTATCAAATGCCTTTTGTAAATCTAAATGCGCGTCTACTAATGTCCCCCTTATCCATGCTGTTTGTTACATCCTCAAAGAACTCTAATAAACCTTCAATCTTATTTAAGTCTGCACGTGCTTTACCTGTCAACACTAGCTGTGATGAAGCTGCTGCCACTGAAACATATCATTTCTTTATTCAGAATATTGCTAAAAAAAAGTTACCCCAAATTGAAATATTTTAGAAGATGAATATACCATAACATAGCTAAAAGACATTTCATTGCCAATAGTCCAACACAACCAACTTGGTAGTAAACAGTACTGATTAACAATTGCTATCAGTTGCCACATAAAATAATTAGCACACCACTATCAAATCCATCTTTGTTATATTAAAATTGCGTAATAAACAAAGAATTTGATGTGAACTCCCTCAACATTTGAGTATTACTGTCGTACAGAGTGATATTCAAGACAATACCTTGCTCTAGCTTAAAGGTAGCATTGTTTAACTTACTAATTGCAACTAAATTGGAATTCTTCTCAAAGTTAGAGGGCTAATTGTAAGTGATTATATGAAGGATTGTGTTTTTTTATTGATCTGTACTTGTGAGCAGATTATGAAGGATGGAAAGCACAGCACCGGAGGAGCGGCGATCTTCCATTGATGAGGTCATCATCATCACGTGACATTATTGTTGAAGCCAAAGATGAATACCCAATATTCTTTGTTGCTCCAGGTGAGTTAGAATAATGATGGGCATTCACGTATTAGCCCACCACTTTGGTATTCCAAGTTCATTTGTATTTATGTTAAATTGGTCACATGCGCTTTGATGACCTGCCCATATGAAAGATGATCCAGTAATTTAACATTTGGATGGTTTTAATTAGTGTACTCTCAGTGTTGTCCATCTCAGACTCAACATTTTCTGGCCCATTTTAGAGTCTCTTCAAGAACTGGGAAATTACAGTTTTATACAGTCACAGGTGGCTTGCAAGTCATTACCTTAGCACTCATGGCTTTATAATATAGACTCGGAATATGTGGTTAAATTGTTGATTTAGCAGGAGCTTAGAGCATTTATAACACATGGTATTTAATAGTTTAACTCAATTACTGACACTGATCTCTTCTGATGCTGTGTCATATATTTTTGCTTCAGCAAAACATTAACTTTATATAAGATTTGATGTTTTTAATATAAATCTTTTCATTTTCAGAATTAGTTATTTGGGCAACTTATCAATAAGTCTTGAAAAATTATTAGCCTCTGCAATTTCCAAATTTTTAAAAATCTTCATGCTCTGGGACCTTGACATCACCATAACATTGCAACCCCATGGAGCATCCAGGGAGTATAATGTGTGCTTATTGTTGATATTATTCACCCTTCTGTTCATACAATCACAGTTATTCTGGTCAGCTATCACATCTCTATGTTCCTTGTCAACATAACCTCAATGAGAGAAGCACACAAGAACTGTAAGAAATAACTTAATAAAATGATTATACAATCTAAATTTTGAAACCAGTGATTAAGTAAGTCATGCAATTGCCCTTCAATTTTCTCGATTCCATGATAAATGATCTATATCTCAGCTTTTTTGTAAGAATTAAGGAAGATGTTAATAAAATAAACTTCTCTTTAATGTTTGGTAATTGGCAAAAGACAGAGCCAATATTCTGGTCCGTTTCAGGTTAAGAAACTGTGTTTCAAAGGATGATAGGTTGTGTCTATGGTCCTTACTAATGTTCAACTCTTCTCATCTTTAGCCAAGTTCCTGGGAAATCAAGTGCTGAGCTACGGACAGAACCTTTCCTTCACATTCTATGTGGAAAGCAATAGTGCCTACCCATCAGTAGAAGATCTCATCCTGGAAGGAGATGGTCAGACACTGACTACTCAAGTGAATGCACAAAATAATCCAATCCCATGTACGAAAAAGCAGACATACAACTACAGGTAGATAAAATAGATGCTCTGAGTTCAACTGATCGTTGTTTTGGTTAACCTGGAATTGGAACACATTTTTTGATCTGAATATGGATTGAATGCAGTTAGATCATTCCATCTTCAGGATACATTGTGCAGGACTTATGTCTCACAATGAATGCTAAATTTGTCACACACATGATCTGTACTAAATGAAAATATTTTAACATTGCATCCAAAAATTATTGTCTAACAAGATAACATTAATTTTTCAGTGATTTATCTTTCCAAAAAGTCAACTTTGTCATAGGCTTTGAGAAAATGCTTGAATAAATTGAGTATATTATTTAACTGGTTGTTGACAGACCTACCCCCATGATGCCCCGCGAGATAAATGCTTCACATTAACACAAACTGTGTCATATAACTGCCTAACTGACTCTTAGTGGTAGAGTATTTTGATTTTGTTTATTAGCACGGTGGAGGTTGAAGTGAAAATGTTAACAATCCTGTTTTGCCTTATAGACTCCATGAAGGTTTGGAGTATGGATGGAAACCATTTTTAACTTCCTTTGACTTCCAGCGGGTGCTCAGCAACCTCAAGGCCATCAAAATCCGTGGTTCATATAACAGGCAAAGTAAGCATTCCAAGAGCACACTTTATCCAAGTTTATAGAAGATAAATGAAATGGAGCAAGAATTATGCTGAGAAACATAAGTAAGATAAAGGGAGAAGAAATTTATCTCTTGCTCATCTTTCAAGTGAAGTTGACTGTGTTCATCATCTGAAGTATTTCATAGCTTCTATTTGGTATGTAGGTGACTGCTCAGGCCTATCTGTGTCCTAAAGGTTCTGATGCAAATATGACAGAATATGATAAATGATTGATGTTTGGACTAATTGCAGGCTTGGGATTTCTCCATTTTGGCCTTTATTCCCTGTCTTGGATGTGCGCTTGCTTTCAAAGGAGGCTATGCTGTTTTTCTTCAGTTATACCAGGTGTGATGATCCTGGGTGAGCTTCTCCCTGGACAAAAAAAAGTATAAAATTCGTAAATGAAGACTTCAGAATGTCATTGTAGAATTTCCATATCATTGCCGCAAGGTAATGCCCCAGACTTCATTTGGTAAAGGAGCAGGAGTTATTCTGGCTACATTACCACTTCAGCTCAATTGTTACTGCCTCAAATGGTGTAAACATTTGTCATCCAAACTTGTGTGAATACTTCTGCGTCTTGCTCAAAAGATACTAAAGGCAGCGGGTATCTGTTTGAATGAACTTTCAGTCACCGGCCTTAGGCCTTATATTCAGCTGTGTTCAGGCTGGTGGTGCTGAGCAGAGCTGAGTAACATCTGAAAATGAGGCCATTAAAAAACAAGTTCCATCGCTTGTTAAGTACTCAGATCACAAAGATCTGCTAACTTGCAGCATTTCCAGCTGTTGCTTTTCGCTAGCTTTGCCAGAGATGTGTCTGTTTTAGGGCCATGTGGTAGGTACAAACCTCAAAATACAGGCATCTTCAGACCATTGTGTGTGAAATGCACTTTGGGTCTAGTCTATGGATATAATGGGAAAAAGAAAATTTGTCTATTTGGGGCCAATCATCAGTATTGCTTGAAATTTTCTTGTACTTTGCATCCCTGAATCCTATCCTGCAGTTAAACAGGTGGACATTTTAAAACTGCTTTTGGTTATAGACACATTAGATACAGCAGAGTAAAGGATTGAATGAATATGACCATTGTAATGAAGTGACATTTAGTTTACAGTAAACAAGTATGGAATTTTGTTACTTTTTCCTATTGTTACAGTAGTGAACGAGACAGCAGTTTAGTAACATGACATTGGAGTTAATTTTGATGCTTTGTATTACAGGTGCTGGACACATCGATAACGTGTCTCTCCAGACAGCCCGACCTGGTGCTGGAAGTCCTGCTCAGTGGGTGGAGAAATGTACATGTCCAACAGGGTATGAGGGACGATTCTGTGAGAAATGTGCAAGAGGCTTCACAAGGCAAAGACGCAAACTTGGAAGTTTTAGCAAGTGTGTGCCATGTGCCTGTCAAGGCTCTAGTGGCACCTGTGACCCAGAAACTGGTGAGTTTGTCATTATATTAGCTTAGATTATGGTTTGAGGTGTCAGATTGGGATCAACCATGTAGCAAGGTTTGTGGCATGCTGGGTAAAAATGGAGGCAGTTTAAATAATATTGGAAAAAATTCAGATGAAATGCCATATCCAATTAGATCTCAAGAATTACCTCTGTACTAATATAGCAGTTTACAGTTTGCAATTTTTACAAGCATTATTCAAGCATCAAGTGAAATTGTTTATCTGTCATTTGTTGAAAGCTGTATCTTCAGGATATAATTGTGAGGTAGGTGAAGTGAATGTTTTAGGAGCCAAGTAAGTATGGGGCAATAAATGGTGGCTCCGCCAGTGAACATCCACCCGTATCCCATGAACAAATAATGAAAAAGTAGAAACTAAAATTAATTAAATTTTAATGAAAATTTAAATCTGGCGTGGAAAGGTTTGAGGATGGCCTTCTTACCCAAGTGCCAAACGATGCCTATTTAAGACCCTCATTCTCCACTGAATTCAACAGGTCAATGGACTCACCATGTTGGAAGACTGACTAGAAAAGTGTATCTGGGTTCCTTTCATCAAGGGAACATAGTGCCTGAATGACAGGCCCAGAATTTAGAACAAGAGAACCCACTGAGAGCCTCTGTCCTGCCCTTTCTTCTAACCTAATTAACCTCCTGCTGGTGATTTCCTCACTGTGACTCCCATCATACCCCCACTTACCCTTCTCCAGGGATTTAATGACGATCCCTGGTGAAGCCCAAGCCACCACTCGCAGTTGGCCTCTATGTAATGGAAATTTATAAGCCTCCTATTAGCTGGCAGTACTTGATGACAGGACTTCCACCATACCAGGGGATGTCCTGGAATTCAATATCACCCATGGAGCCAGGCGTCCTGGTATTGGAGTTCCTGTTGCCAATTAAGAACTTAAATCTTCCTGGGCTCCCGGCTTGGCTCAGTGGGAGAGGTGCCAATTTCAGTGGTGAGCATTGGGCCTTCCTGCAGCCCTTATTAAATTCCACCATTGGTTACTAAGAAAAGCGCAAAGCGCTAAACCTATGCAGGAGATTGAGTAACTTGTGATGAGTGGTGATACCATTGTTCAACATATTGTTATAAGTGAGGTGGAGATAAGTAAGTATTTAAAGTGGATAATGAACATAATTCTAGAGGGCACAGCATAAAATTCACAAGTTTTGTGCAAAGTTAGAGTTCAGTAAAAACAGCATTGCCCTTAGAACAGTGGACATTTGAAAATCTTCTAACTGGCAGTTGGCTCAGTATCAGTAGAGTTCTTCAAAAACTGGATCTCTGTGTGTTGAGTGAGCTGTAATAAAGTGTTCTTCCATGTTGCTCATCAGGTTCCTGCTTCTCCAATGACCCTCCCAGGAATTGCCCACATGGTTATTATCCTGATTCTACTGAACCAAGAGGCTGTAGGATTTGTCCTTGTCCAAGAGGTGCAGGGTGCACTGTGACACCGGGAACAACAGAGGTGGTGTGTGTGGGCTGTCCAGCAAAAACAATGGGTAAGCCTTGGGTACAATCTGAGTATTTAATTATTTGGAAGAGGCTACAATAACACTAACAGAAAGAAACAACACTGCCACTTTTACACAAAACAGGCCTGTTCAGCAGATTTATACTTAGAACTAACTCTTTCAGTTTTTACTGGAATTGTTTAAATTTGTGAATACTTGTGGAAAATGCATCCATCATTGAAAACTGTACAGTACAGCTTCATTATCCACATTCCAATTATCTGCGTCCCTGGAAATTCATCAGAATATAATTGAAATAAAGCCTCATTGCACAACTAAAAGTCTTGATTCATTGTATTTCATCTTCTGTACAGTGAATTAACCTACACAATGCTTAATTTGTAACCTGTAATGTAATAATTTTTGCTATAGCTACAGGACGTTGGAAATCATTGTTATAAATGTTATAAATTCCTTATAAAGTCATATTTTGGAGACTTATTTCTCCTCCAACTTTTATGATTCATCAAGGTATTCTTTTCATTATGGAAGATATTGAATTAACAATATCATGTCTGAAACTATTAATAATGTAGCCCCATGTGGCCTATTGAATGTAAAAGCATACTGCAAATTTGAGTAAATATACTAACATGGTCTCTGTCATCTAGTGAAATAATATGAGATAGTTTTCACATAGCACTTTTCATATGTTCAAGATATCCCAGAATGTTTTTAAATGTTACAATGTAGTGGCAAAAAAACTTTATGAAAAGGAATGTGAAATTCCAGTTAGTAGCTGAAAGGATGATATCACCCAAGATATCACAGCTTAAGATTTTTATTGTAAAGAAGAATCAGTATCTTTATAGGCAGTTCATACCTTAAACCACAAATCAGAACACGCCCCTTCTCCTTTTCACACAGCTGAAAACACACTTGACAGATATACTTTACATCTGCTTTGTGCAGATATTCTATTTTCCTGGAACCAGTTCAAGGTGATTCTTAGCTTCCAAGAGTTTACTTCTGTTCCTTTTTTTCCTGGGAACTTTTAATCTCAGAACTGTCTTTCACAATGGGGCGTTTCTGCGTGGATATTTTTCCTGTAGTACGACAAATCTTCCAGCCATGTTTTTGTTCATCGTGAATTCAGACTTTTCAATCTAAGAGGTATTATCACATGCATTCCTGTGTGATGAACCATAGTATCTTGCTATTCATAGCTTCCCTCCCACCCTCTGATCCTGACCAACTAACTTATCTGAGTTTTGGTGATATCTTAAAAGCCCTTGCCCAAACAAAGCCCATCAGAATCAAGCATAGTAAATTCTTTCTTCTCATTATTGCTGTACAGAATTCAAACATAACACATCATTTCCTGTTAAGTTGAATTCTGGCAAACTACACTCTTTTCCAGTGAACACCTTGTTATACAGTTTGCTGAATAATTAGCCTCTCCTGTTTTCACATTTAATTTTTGAACATGACAGGGTATATCAGTATGAGAAAAAATATAGTCGATTTGATGAAATTTGCTTTCTGTATATTTAATATAAACTTTGAGACTCTAATGCATGTTTCTTCCATTCCTTGACGTTATTATGTAAATTCCCTAGGTAACCGGTGTGAAATGTGTGAGGAGGGATACTTTGGTAACCCACAGGCAGGTAGATCCTGTCAACCTTGTCAATGTAACAACAATGTGGATTCCAATTCAGTTAGTAATTGTGATCGGTGGACTGGGGAATGTCGAGGATGTCTGTACAACACTGCAGGACATCACTGTGAGAGATGCAAAGATGGCTTTTATGGAAATGCACTTGCCTCCAATCCTGCTGAAAAGTGCAAACGTAAGAATTGTCTTTGAACTTCACATATCCTATATGTAGACATATTCCATGGTATAAAGTTTACTGTTTCATTGCAGCTAATCTGCAAAAAGCAAATCCAGTTCAATATTACAGAAGGTTGCAATTTGTCCTCCATGTTATCAACGGTTTCTAAAATACAATTTTAGTTTCTCTTACATTAAAAGTATTTTAGAGACACTAAGTAAGAATTATTTTCTGGTTTGCTGCTTTGAGATTCATCACCCTGGGAATTCTATTTGCCCAATGGATTTTCATTGCTGAGATAGAAGTGTTTAGTTCCTGGTTGCGCAATCCCAACGGCATTGTAATGGGACTTCTGCTGCAGCTCCAAAGGAGGCACGTGAGCATTCAAAGTGGAAGAAAAGAAGATAAAAGTCAGTTTTGTACATATCCAAAAAGATGCAGGTCTTCACAGTTAAATTAATGATGACAGTTTGGAATGGGGTAACATGTAGGAACAGGAAGATATAGCTGCTGCAAAATCTTCCATCCCCCTATCGGGTGTTCATTGTATCACTTCAATCGGGTCACCGCTGCCTTCCACATGGTGGCCCAATGAAGTGGTGGTAACTTCAAATTGTTTGAAAATCTGATGAGGTTCCCTGGTATTTGATTTGAGGTGGGGAATGAGCAAAGAGAAAGACCAAGGGGAGAGCAATGAAACAGTGTCGGTCCCAACACCAAATGTTCATCCCAACCTTTCTGCTGCTCTCCCACCTGAATTCAAGTAAACTGTGCAATAAAGTGCAGGCCCAATTCTACCCGAATTCATGCTCAGAAATAGATTTGATGTTTAAATAAAACAAAGAACTGCGGATGCTAGAAATCTTACACAAAAACAGAAACTGCTGGAGAAACTCAGCAGATCTGGCAGCATCTGAGAAGACAAAGCAGAGTTAACGTTATGGGTCCAATGATCTTTCCTCAGAACAGAATTTGATGCTTAGACTGGAATTGCTTGTATGGATTAACATATGTTTCAATATTTAAGCAACAATCATGAGATAAAAGAATCTGAGACCTGCTGTACATTTTCATGTTATGATTATATTACTTTTACAGCTTGTAACTGTGACCCAAGCAGTTCTTGGTCCTTACAGTGCAGGGATGATGGAACATGTGATTGCAAGTCAGGAGTCTTTGGAGCTAAGTGTAACCAGTGTGCAGGGGATACCTATTACAATAGCACCACAGGCTGCCAGGAGTGCCCAAGCTGCTATCAAGCAGTAAAAAGCAAGGTAGGTACCTGATACCCTCTGGCTAAGGGAAAGCTTTCTTGGTCTTTGTTTTGAAATTATAAGAGCAGAATTTCCTCACAAAATTTATGTCTATTTTTATAGCAATCCCAAACAATCGCATTAACATATGCTGGCACCAAAATCTGAATAAACAAAAGAGAATCAGCCTGAGTATTCGGACCTGATGAAAGCATGGAACCTCTGTTCTTTTTCTTTTCCAATTTCCTTTTTAGTCTGAAAGCATCAAATACGAAAACATGTAGTGAAAGTCTCAATGAAGAGAACTTGTTTTGTAGTGAGTCATATAGGAACATAGGAACAAGAGTAGGCCATTCAGCCACTTGAGCCTGCTCCACCGTTCAATTAGGTCATGGCTGATCATCTATCTGAATGCCAATTCCTTATTCCTTTATGTCAATAATCTCCAGAAATCAATGATTTCTGTATTGAACATGCTCAGTGATTGACGTGCCACAGCCCTCTGGGGAAGAACATTCCAGATCCTCCATTCTCTTAATGAAGGAATCCCTCCTCATCTCAATTCTCAAAGATCTACCCTTCACCTTGAGATTATGCCCTCGGTTTTAGAGACACCAGTCAGGGGAAACACAGCTACGATCTATCCACATCTACCCTGCCATGTCCTGTAAGAGTTTTTTAAGGTACAAGGAAATCATCTATCACTCCTGGAAACTCTACAGAATATAGGACCAGTTTCAACAATTTCTCCTCATAAGACAATCTCACCATCCCAGGGATTAATCTGGTGAATCTCCATTGAACTTTATGGTTAAGTATATCCTTTCTTAGATAAGGAGACCACACTGTATATATTGCATCAGTGGGGTCTCACTAAGTCTCTATAGAACTGCAAGATACCTTCATTGACTGCACTGAAATCCCCTTGAGATGAATGCCAACATACTGCTTGCATTCCTAATTGCTTGCTACTTTGCATTATAGCTTTTAGTGACTCAAGGACAAGTACACTCTGAACCCTTTAATATATATTTCCAGGAAATGACACTGTATTGCTTATTTGAAAAGGTGTCATTATCATTATCACATTCTAATCATTGGCAGTCATCTTACTTTTGGAAGTATGCTATATAAGATTTTAAATGAAGGCACTTCAAGCACAGGGGTGGGATTGAGGAGGTAGGCCCTTCATAGCGACCTCAACCAATATGAAAATTATACCTTCTCTGTTGGCATCAATTCTGCAGCCCAAACCGACATGTCTGCTTTTGTGTCAATGTATATATACAAAAAATTTTCTATGTATAAAGTATATTTTTGTAATAAAAAAAATTGAAAAATACGAGTAGACAACAGAAACAGGTTTTGTAAAGAAAAGATGGTAACATTAACATGTGAAATCTCAATTGTTAAACAGGAAGTTTGGAATTTGCATTGCCTGTGGTCACAGAGGAAACAATTCACAAAGGAATACAGGGAACTATCCCCTTTCTCTCCATCTATTATCTTAATCATTCATATATTATCAGTCCATTCATGAGAAATAAAGTACAGGCTTTCGGATTGTGTAACCAACCTACTTTATCACCCTCAATTTATTTGAACATTTCTCAGATGAAGTTTAAATGGCAAATCTCGGAGGGCTTGTTAGCTAGTTTTTGTTAGCGTATGGTCCATATTGCTCAAACAAAACAGTGCATTGAAGGTGATTTGTACTTGAAACTTTCAAAAAAACTCACTATTTCTAACAAAATGCTAACTGTGTTCTTCCTATACTTGTTTGCAAATTCCTTATAACTTCGAGGCAGCAGAAATTGGAGATTTCAAATGAAGGCATGCAAACAACCCTTAGAATTGAAGTTGAAGATACATTAATTCAAAAAGAGCATGAACTAGATTATGGAATGTCTGCAATTTATCCTTAAACAATTATTCCAGCTCTTCCTACTCTCACAGCTACCGATATTATGAGATGCCAGCCTTCTTAAAGCTGTTCCTGAATTGTCTCTGGTATTATCCTTCCAGACGTGTTGGTTTGGAGTGCAGAAGTGATGCCAACAGAGAAGGTGCAATTTTCATATTGGCTGAGGTCACTATGAAGGCCCTACCTCCTCAATCCCACCCCTGTGCTTGAAGTGTGATGGTTAAATTCATCACTGGTCATCTATCTCTAATGAGAGAACAGGCTAGGGATCTTTGAGACTCAGGTGACTTTTGCCTTTGAGGCAGTGGTGGTTCCAAGCCAGCTCAGAACTCGCCCACTGATGGATTTCTCTTTAAACTATATCTTTCCATTTTCTCTTCTTCTTAAACTATTAAAATGGCACCAGATTATGGCAACAATGGAAACTTTTCACTGTATTTTATTGTATTTTACTGTAGAATGCACATGACAATAAACACTCATTCATTCATTCATCCCTTCAGAAGTTTAGAACAATTATAAAAACTTTACCTCTGTTTTAATGATTTGTAATTTTGGATACTAAGAAGATTGTTGGACTTTTTCTTGGTTTCTTACTAAATGCTTTTTATGTCTGTTTTTTCTGCTGTTCAGGTAATGAAACACAAGAATGTGGTTAGAGATCTGGAAATACTAATTTCAAAAGTGAAGACAAATGGGAACCCATCAAATGACAAGGACTTTGATGAAAGATTGAGGAAAGCATCAGTGGTCCTCAACAGAATGATGACTGATGCTGAAAAAACAGAAAGTAAGTTCTTATTCTTGCTTGGTGACTTTACAGGTTGTAAGATTTTTAGCATAAATACAAGCATAAAGCAATTTTCTCCCCCTTCATTATCATTTGATCTCCGTATATTTTCCCTTCTCAATCCCAATCTAAATGGATTTTCTTTGATTGAAAAGCTACTTGCTCCAGGGCACTGTTAAATCTCCTTGTAGCCATGTATGAAAATGCAAGTCAACTTTCTTCTGAAAGTACATCTTGGAATCTTACTTTGTGTCAGTAGTTCTCTGGATCCTTCTTTAGCTTAAACTAGCACGGAGGGAGTTTTTATTTTGCTTCACCTTATTGACAAAGTTTTTTTTTAAGAATTGCCTTTCCCAGGAGATACCATCACAGTGTGATGGAGTTTGTGGTGCTAGAGGATAGTAAGCACAGAGGCATGATGTTTCTCTAGTCTTGCCCTGCTGGTCATTTCTGTATGCTCATATGCATTAGCTGGCCTCAAGCAGCTTATCCTTGGTAGATTCACTAAGCCATTTTGCCATAAGACATAATACAGCCAAGCCCAATCCTGATACCCATTTAACATCTATCATTTTTCCAGTATGGTTGTACCCAGCTTGCACTCACTGGCTGAATTCATAGGCTGCTGCGGTCATACAGTACCCTTATCAGTTCAGAGCAACTAACGTGAGGCGAATGGAGTCCGGGATCCTCCTCGTCTAGATAGCAAAAAGAAATAAGATGAGCTATTAGAGTTACCAGGAAGAAACGAAATGTGGGGATCTTCAGAAGATAAACTCAAGAATGAACAATATTTGGCCGCAGCAGTAAAGATCAAATTCTTTTTACAGTGGATGACGAAAACAATCTTGACCAATTGAAAAATCTGAACAAGAAGTTGGGTGTTGAGACAAGTCGCCTGAACAATATAGGGAAATCTGTTGATGAGACTCGGAGGTTGACAGTATTGTATGAAGATCGCATTCGGAATACAGAGAAGTTGCTCAGCAACGTCAGGATAAAGATCCAGGAAAGCAGGACAGAACTGAACCGAATGGTAAGCCCTCATGAGTCAAAACAAGCACTTTTTCTTTAATTTGAAGGTTAAAAACTCCATTAGTAGCCGACATGTTTATAAAATAGAAAGAACAACAGTAAGGACACAAATGTTGTCAATGTAGTGAAAGACCCAGGGCAGTCCTGGCATTTTAAAATTCTAATAATTAATAAACATTATACCAATGGTAAATGTGTGAGGCATGCAAGTTATGACACAGTCTGTGAATGAGATATAATTTCATAAATGTCATAGCCTGTAGGTATTGCACTGTTTCACATTATGATACAATCTTAATGGAAGAATTATGTTTGAAATTCATATCATGTTGAGCCATTTGAGTGTTAGTACATAGCTAGATATTCTGTTCCCATGCTGTGTGTGTGCTCAGAAGGAGTCCATGTAAAATAGTTCAGATAGATAGCTCACCAGCTACCCACCCTCCCTTCATAATATAGATGGGACCTGTAAGGCACCGACTAAATACAAAGGCCTCAAGTAGTCAAATATTGCCCAATTACGATTGTTGAAAAGGTAGGGAGGGAAGGGATTACATCTGCTGAGAGCTGGGGAGTTGCCTCTGATCATTAGAGGTGCTTTCCCCTTTGATTTTACCCCACTTTGTACCTCCCTTTCTGGCTTTAACCCTGTTGCCCAAACCCCCTGCTCCCCTCCCAAGGTGCCATCCCCGCTTGGGACTTACATGGGTGCAGATGGCATGATTTTCTTTGTGGCACTGCTTACTCCCACTATTGTGATCTGGCATTGCTGAGACTGTAAGTGTGCCTGCTAATCTGATTGGCCGACAGTCCTGAAGGGTCAGATCCCCTTCCATTAAGAGACAGAGTTTGATCCTCAGTCTGTTTAGGCTGCTCATCGCTGGTGCTGGCTTTTTAAAAGTCCTGTTTCCAGGTGAATGTTCTTCTGGTGGGGGCTGTTGGGTTAGGAGCTGTGAGGTGCAAGCAGTTCTATCCCCAACCCAAAGGTTGTAAAATCCAATCTCAAATTATGGAGACATGACATCAAATTATGTGACAACGCTGCAGATTGCTTCTCCTAAATCCATGTCAAAGAGTCACACACAGCTTCACATGAAATGCTGCACTGCTTATTGTGAAACTGTGTCACATATACCAAGACTGTAACCAAATTCAAGGCCGGTTCTGTACTGAATTTGCTGATGTCAGCTGGCCTGTTACCATAATTAACTCATGTAGCACTAGATTAGCTTCAGAGAATGAAAGGATTTCATTCTTATTAATACAGAAGGAAGCCTGCAGGAAAATGTGTTTAAGTGGAATGAACATTTGCTTATCGAAGAAAGCTTGCTCCCAGCGAAAGCTTAATTCAGCATTGTTTGGAAGGACAAGAATTTTGTTTTGTTAACTTTAAATGTTTGGATAAATGAGAGCTAGTTGCCAAACTCAATAAGTGCAATGTTAGACAACAAGGTGCAGGGCTGGATGAACACAGCAGGCCAA